GTTACCGCTCCCACTGGAAGGCTATTCCAGGTATCTACTACCCTTTCTATATCACTGTTACTGCTGCCACTGGAAGGCTATTCTAGGTATCTACTACCCTTTCTATATCACTGTTACTGCTCCCACTGGAAGGCTATTCCAGGTATCTACTACCCTTTCTATATCACTGTTACTGCTCCCGCTGGAAGGCTATTCAGGTATCTACTACCCTTTCTATATCACTGTTACTGCTCCCACTGGAAGGCTATTCCAGGTATCTACTACCCTTTCTATATCACTGTTACTGCTCCCACTGGAAGGCTATTCCAGGTATCTACTACCCTTTCTATATCACTGTTACTGCTCCTCTACTGAAGCGCTATTCCTGCGTACCTGGCTACCCTTTCTATATCACTGTGTTACTGCTTCCACTGAAACGTGCTATTCCAGGTATCTACTACCCTTTCTATATCACTGTTACTGCTCCCACTTCGGAAGGTTCCAGGTATCTACTACCTTTCTATATCACGTGTTATTACCCCCACTGGAAGGCTATTCCAGGTATCTACTACCCTTTCTATATCACTGTTACTGCTTCCACTGAAACGCTATTCCAGGTATCTACTACCCTTTCCATATCACTGTTACTGCTCCCACTGGAAGGCTATTCCAGGTATCTACTACCCTTTCTAAATCACTGTTATTGCTTCCACTGAAACGCTATTCCAGGTATCTACTACTCTTTCTATATCACTGTTACTGCTTCCACTGGAAGGCTATTCCAGGTATCTACTACCCTTTCTATATCACTGTTACTGCTCCCACTGGAAGGCTATTCCAGGTATCTACTACCCCTTCTTTATCACTGTTACTGCTTCCACTGAAACGCTATTCCAGGTATCTACTACCCTTTCCATATCACTGTTACTGCTCCCACTGGAAGGCTATTCCAGGTATCTACTACCCTTTCTATATCACTGTTACTGCTCCCACTGGGCGGCTATTCCAGGTATCTACTACGCTTTCTATATAACTGTTACTGCTCCCATTGGAAGGCTATTCCAGGTATCTACTACCCTTTCTATATCACGGTTACTGCTCCCATTGGAAGGCTATTCCAGGTATCTACTACCCTTTCTATATCACGGTTACTGCTCCCAGTGGAAGGCTATTCCAGGTACCCTTTCTATATCACTGTTACTGCTCCCACTGGAAGGCTATTCCAGGTATCTACTACCCTTTCTATATCACTGTTACTGCTTCCACTGGAAGGCTATTTCAGGTATCTACTACCCTTTCTATATCACTGTTACTGCTCCCACTGGAAGGCTATTCCAGGTATCTACTACCCTTTCTATATCACTGTTACTGCTCCCATTGGAAGGCTATTTCAGGTATCTACTACCCTTTCTATATCACTGTTACTGCTCCCTCTGGAAGGCTTTTGTATTTTTGGAAATTGGCATTTCTTCCGATTACCTCTCAGCCTCCCACTCTCAAATCCTGTATCCATTGTTTTAGAATTCCTTTATTATTCTATTATAGCAAACCCCATTAAACATCAAGTTAAATCTGCAACGAAAGCATCGTTCTGTTGTACCTCTGACGGATCTTCTTCCATCGCTCCATATTCTGGTTAATTAACGTGGACATGCTGGGCGTTAGGTTTGGAGGCTGCAAGGAATCACACTCAGAGATCAGGTTACAGGGTGTAATGGAGAAGGCTGTGTGGACGTAATCAGAATATTTGGACATTTGAAAAACATGTTATTATAGCCCTTACCATGTTCAGATTGAGGGGTTCGCTATCTTCTCGAAGGGGAGAGGGTATCCTCAAGTTAATGGGCTCTCCATCCTCTGTCACTGGGCATGGCAAAGGTGGGGGTAACTGGTACAAATTTTGTGTGCTTCCATTAACTCCTTCAACCTGCATAAGTAGAAATAATCAAATATTTTCCCCAATTAATTAATAATATTTTTGTTACATGACAGTTGGGATTTACACTTAAAACAAGAATTGCATTATTTCTTTAAGCATTTTTAGCTTGTTATGATCTGCGCCTTTAAAAGGACATTATAGTCACCAGAACAACTACAGCTTATTGAATTTGTTCTAGTGAGTAGAATCATTACCTTCAGGCTTTTTGCAGTAAACACGGTCTTTTCAGAGAAAATGCAGTGTTTACATTACAGCCTAAGGATACACTGGACACTCAGAAGGCTGCAAGAGGTACTTCCTTGGGTTATGCTGCACAGTGTGACTGACATTCAGTGCCTCCACCCTCTGCCTGGAGACACTTAAAGGACCACTATAGGCAACCAGACCACTTCAGCTCAATGAAGTGGTCTGGGTGCCAGGTCCATCTAGGGTTAACCCTGCCTGCTGTAAACATAGCAGTTTCAGATAAACTTCTATGTTTACATTGGGGTTAATCCAGCCTCTAGTAGCGGTCTTATTGATAGCCGCTAGAGGCGCTTCCACGTTTCTCACTGTGATTTTCACAGTGAGAAGACGCCAGCGTCCATAGGAAAGCACTGAGGAATGCTTTCCTATGGACTGACTGAATGCGTGCACGGGTCTTGCCGCACATGTGCATTCAGCGGATGACGTCGGAAGAGTGAGGAGAGTCCCCAGCACCGAGGGAGCACGGCGCTGGAGAAAGGTAAGCATTTAACCCCTTCCTCCCACTAGAGCCCGGTGGGAGGGGGGCCATGAGGGTGGGGGGGACCTATTAACACTACAGTGCCAGGAAAACGAGTTTGTTTTCCTGGCACTATAGTGGTCCTTTAACTTTCCTCATAGAGGTGCATTGATTCACAAGCAGTGGCGGAACTACCGCGGTCGCAGGCACCCTGCGACAGGGTGCTCGCCGGCACGTGTTGCAGCCCTGGCCCACGCGGTATAACTGCTGGGGCCGCACATTCAGGGGCCCATCGGGTGGCCCTTGCTGTTAGGGCCACCTTGTGGCAAAATATTACAAGGGGGCCCAGTCGCACTCTTAAAGCGCCGCAGGGAGTAAGTGACTGCCCCTGTCACTTCCTCCCAGCAAACACCGGGAGCCGTGCGGGAGGAAAAGAGGAGTGAGTCAGAGTGGAAACTCTGACTCCCATCAGGCTGAGCCATCACTGGACCCCAAGGAAGTCACCCTCCTGCATATAAAAGGTAGGAAACAGGAGGGTGACTTAAACATTTTGCATGTGTGTTAGTGTCTGTCTGTGTGTGTATGTGTGTCTGTAGGTGTCTCTGTATGTATGTGTGTGTATCTACATGTCTATGTGTGTGTATGTTTGTATGTCTGTATGTATGTGTGTGTCTACATGACAGTGTGTGAAACGCTCCGGTGCCCTGTGGTTTCTAGTTACACCTCTGTTCACAGGGCTGTGTTTGGCTTGTGCTGGCTCTGACCCTGGTCTGCCTACTTGGCAGTCTCAGCCAATCCTATGGGAAAACATTGTGATTAGCTTAGATCAACACTTCTGATTATGTCAGCCAAGCCGGCAGATCAGGGGCAGAGCCAGCAGCAGTATACTAGAGTAAATATAAGATTTTAGGGGTTAAAATATTCTTCCTCAAAAAAAAAAAATCAGTGTCATGTATTTTCCCTTGAAGTGTTAACGTTTTTAACAAGGACGTGGTTAGGTCACCTCTTCTGCTGGTGGTGGTGTTTGGGGCTGTTCGAGTGCTCTCACTGTTGGGGTATTCCGCAGCCAAGCTCGACAAACTGGATAGAGGGGCGTATCCTCGGAAAATTGTGCCAAATCCACACTCCGGTCAAAGAGCCGAATAATAAACGTGTCTGGAAAAGTGGATGAGTTTATTAAGAACTAGGGATTATTCTTTACAAGATAGAAACCAACAAAATGTTACAGCTCAATGTCCAATTTTAGAGCCACAATTCTCTCTCTGTATTATATAAACCTGAAGAACTCTAATAAAGTGATGCTTGTGGCCAACTAGAAATTGATGTGGCCTTTCAATCCCCCCTGAAACTGTGTGATGCTCTATGAAGGAAATATAGCTGATGGACTTGGTATACTGATTCTGTTTAGTCTGTGTCCTTACTAGCTTTCGGCTGGCTGCCTTCTGTGATGCCATCTTCTTCTTTCCTCTTCTTCCGCCGGTGCTGAGAGAGCCTCCCCGAAGGCCTAGATGGAGGAGAAAATGTCCTTTAGAAATATTCTGACAGTGTAGGGGAGGTCGAACGGAAGCATTGAGATTATAGAATCTCTAGCCCTGAGCTAAATGGTAATTTCCTGGTATAAATTACTCTAAATCAGAATGTGGATGCAAAAAATCAGGGCTCAAAATTCCCACTTGCTCACTAGCCATTGTTGAGTGCTAACTCGCCCCCTGTGGAGTGAGGCCTGGACCACCCAGGTGTGCAGTAACGAGTACCGTTAAGTCTGGCCAGTGGTGTAGTAGTGTTGAACTCACGAAAAACAAGGCAAGACATATATCTGCTATAAACTGTGGCAGCCATTTTAGTTTTTCACCACTGAGCTGGAAACCGTCTGGAGGACTGGAATGTTAGGGATGACCTTCAGCTCGTGTTCCTTTGGGCAGCTGCTTATTCTCAATAAGAATCCTTGGGCATATTTGCCATTGTAACTTTATCATTGAATTTTTAACCATTTTTTGTGATTGCTGTTGTTGGTTCGAACATGCTGAAACTAGCAATGTTTTCATTTTAATGGAGCAATGGAGACACTGCCTTCTGAGCTGTATAGAAGATTTTTCCGCGTATTGTGTTCAGTTACCTGTTTGAATAACGTTATTTAGCGTCAGATTAAACCCCTGACAAAGTTCATCCTTTACTAGGGCCACAGTCACAACTAACATGGAGTAATTTAAAGATAAACTGTTAAAGCTGAAACTATTAAAATAATTACCTTGGGTTCTGCTTTAAAAAATATCTTTCCAGCCATTTTATTAACCTCGGGATTCCATGGGGTTAATTAGGCAGGCCTCTATAAATAACAGCAACATCTAACATTTTGTAACAGGGTGACCTATTTGTTAACATTTTGCAACATTAGTGTCTTCTGAAAGCAGTTTAGCCTTATATTTTACTAAAATAAATTGCTGGTACATTATGAGACTTCAAGAAACCACACTAATTACAGTGTGGATCAAAGTACCGATCCGTTCTGAGGACTTGTGTTCTGCTAAAGCCATTGAACCTTTTACCTTTTCCCCCCGGCACTGGGAGATGAATCTCTGCAAGAAAGAAGAATATAAAAAGTCAACGCTATCTGCCATTTACTACTGAAACAGGTTATTTTCCAAAATAGTTGCAATTAATTCCCAGAAAATAGGGAAATCGTCCAGTCCACAAATTATCTTTACGCATTTGTGCACTATTAAAAAAAAAAAAAGATGTCATCACACTTGTCATGTTTTGAGCATGGTGGGACAGTGTGTCTTTGGCTGGAAGTGAACTTTGGGAAATAATGCTTAAAGGAAAACTATAGTGCCAGGAAAACAAACTCGTTTTCCTGGCACTGTAGTGCCGTGAGGGTGCCCCCCCCACCCTCAGGGCCCCACTCCCGCCGGGCTGAAGGGGGAGGAAGGGGTTAAATCCTTACCTTTCTCCAGCGCCGGGCTCCCTCAGCGCTGGGGACTCTCCTCCTCCTCCGGTCGTCATCGGCTGAATGCGCGGCAATTCTCAATGCTTTCCAATTGAAAATCACAGTGAGAAGCGTGGAAGCGCCTCTAGCGGTTGTCAATGAGACAGCCACTAGAGGCTGGATTAACCCATAGGTAAACATAGCAGTTTCTCTGAAACTGCTATGTTTACAGCAGGCAGGGTTAGCCCTAGATGGACCTGGCACCCAGACCGCTTCATTAAGCTGAAGTGGTCTGGGTGCCTATAGTGGTCCTTTAGGGCACACACTGTTAGCCCCTTCCCCTACTGTGTTATTTACAGACCAGCGTCTCGCCAATTAATACAAAGTGCAACCTATCAGGAAAGGGAGGGGTGGTACATGCTGGGGATTATTGTGGAATAAACACAAATGATGGGAAATGAAAGAAATGCTAAAAAACCCATCTGTACTTCCCGTCAATTGGAAAAACATTTTAAGCTGGAAAATGAATATCTACTACTAAGCAACGGAAAAACAGCAAGTTAAACATTAATCATTAAAGTCATAAAAAAAATATAAATAAATGACTGGTTAAAGCAGATCTCTAACCTTAGCATTTATTTTGCAAAGATCCCCAATGGTCACATGATCTCTTAGTGTGTTTGGCCGAGGGCTGCAGGGGAAGGTAGGTTGTACAGTCCATTTGGGGGATCCTCACCTGCCAGGAGCCCAGGTCAGCGCTGTGCTGCACAAGACACAGTGGTCCCTAATTTGTCTTATGATAGATTTTCCAGTGACATCCCAACACAGTCACTGTGAGCAGTTTATAAAGATTTATTTTGTTTGGGGCGGTCAGAGCCGCTTTAAGTAGAATCATTTTCCTTTATCTCATTATAAACAGATTATCGGATCATTCACAGAAAACAAATGTCTTACTTGCAGTGAAGATCTCCAGATGCTTTCCCAACCTCATCATCTATCTGCTCCCTAGAAAAAGACACAAAGATCACACCTTCTGATATAAATAAATAAAGCTTATTTATTAAAGTGTGAACGGTCTGGAATCCATGGTGAATTCACAGGGAATTCCAACATTTAAACCAAATCAGCCTTCAGAAAGCACATATCACATGAACATTTTTTGTTCCCTCTATTTGGACACTGGGGGTGTAACCAGGTTAATTTATAAATGTGTAAATTTCTATTGAAATCTGCACTTTTCATAAAATGAGAAAAAAAAGGATAAAATCTGCACACATAAAACACTTTAACATGACACTTTAGGTGTGTCGCAGTGGCGTCACTAGGGGGGGCGCGGGCCCCCCCTACATCATACTGTGCCTCCCAAAATGCTGGCAGCTTGCTGGCCATGTTATTAAATTCTATTCCCTTGGACTGTAACAGGCTTGTGTGTGTGTGTGTGTGTGTGTATGTATGGACTTAGCAGTCTGTGTGTCTGTGTGTGTGTATGGACTCAGGAGTCTGTGTGTGTGTGTGTCTGGACTCAGCAGTGTGTGTGTGTGTATGGACTCAGCAGTGTGTGTCTGTGTATGGACTCAGCAGTCTGTGTCTGTATGTATGGACTCAGCAGTCTGTGTCTGTATGTGTGTGTGTGTGTGTGTATGGACTCAGCAGTCTGTGTGTATGCGTGGATTCAGCAGTCTTTGTCTGTATGTGTGTGTATGGACTCGGCAGTCTGTGTGTGTGTATATGGACTCAGCAGTCTGTGTGTGTGTGTATATATAGACTCAGCATTCTGTATGTGTGTATGGACTCAGCAGTGTGCGTGTCTGTGTGGATTCAGCAGTCTGCGTGTCTGTGTGGATTCAGCAGTGTGTATGTGTGTATGGACTCAGAAGTCTGTGTGTATGGACTCAGCAGTCTGTGTGTGTGGACTCAGCAGTCTGTGTGTGTGGACTCAGCAGTCTGTGTGTGTGTATGGACTCAGCAGTCTGTGTGTGTGTGTCTGCTAGTGAGGAAGCTTTGGTGTGTGTATGGACTCAGCAGTCTGTGTGGGTGTGTATGGACTCGGCAGTCGGTGGGTGTGAATGTATGGACTCAGCAGTCTGTGTGTGTCTATGTGTATATATGGTGTGGCAGGGTCAGAGAAGCTTTTTATGCTAGTATTAGATTTGAGCGCTCTCTATTCCCAGCATGATGGGGTTAATTGGTGGGAGTCACCCCTTGAATGTTATCAACCAGGTGAATGTAATTAACCAGCACTAGGGTTTTAAAAGGTTAGCCTCTGAAGACATTGGGGGAATCTAACAACTGGGAGGGAGGAGGCAGTTAAGCCTGAGACTCTGAGAAAAAGGTACTGTGTGAAACCTGCTTAAAGTGCTGTATTTCATTTTGTTTAAAACTGGGAACCAGATTAGCTGGCCAGTTGAATAGTTAGTAATACTGTTGTTTAGTAAGTCTCCAAGTTGGAGTAGGATTTATTTTCTTTTTGTGGGAGAGCACAACCATGTATATATTGTGGAAAGTGACAAACTGCACTACTATTTTATCCTGACTGTTGCATTTGAAGTTTATTGCCTACATAGAGCCTGGCCATCCTGCCACAATGGATACAGTGCCATCTATGGCACTGTATCAAGGGAAATGTGTTTTGTTTTTGAATAATCCCTGGTGGAAAATAATAAATCCTCCACCAGGGATTATTTTTTAAAAAAAAACACTGTGGCGGGGCTTAACATGCAGCAGGGGCGCGGTCAAACTGCGCCGAGGGCATGGTTAAATGTGCCCCCCTACTTTTGTCCCTGGCCCACTATATGCCCTCCCTAAAAATGAATCCTAGAGACGCCACTGGTGTGTAGTATAAATTGAATCCATTCGGACATAACCCTGTATGAAGATACAGTCTAAAAGTTAGCCAAAGCTTATATATGCGCAATTCAGTGAAAGAATTTATATATCGGCAGTAACAGATGGTTAACTTACCGGTCTATATCACTCTTGTCCAGGAGTCCCTGTAAGACGGCATCAAGTCGGCTCCGGGCAATCTCTGCCTCCAGATCTAACATACGTTGTGAAGAACGAGAGACCGGAGATAATACATTAATTTCACACAGGAAAAATACCCATCCAACTAAATATTAAGTACTTGCGCTAAAATTAGAGATAAGCACTGCACATGGGACTTGGTACAATCTGAATATAATAGGCAGCATCTTCAAAGCTCACAGTTTAGTGAATAACTCCTTCAACGTTGGAATGTGGGATAAATCTAGCAAATTTCACTTATCTCTCACCTGTCTTCTCCACTTTCACCTTAGCAAGTGCCATGGTGCGAGCCTGTCCTTCCCAGCGTGCTGCAACTGCACCAATTCCTTTATCTATAAAAGATCAGACAAGAAATGAAATCCGACTCGCCATCCATTGGTCTCACTAGAAAGATTAGGATAATAGAAAAAGAGATTTTCCTGAGGTTTATATTCTATCAAAATATGGGTTTTATCATGCAGTTCACTAAATAAAGAACCCTGCAATTATCCATGGACTAAACACTGACCCCTGCCGCTCTCTACAGACTAAACACTGAAGCCTGCAGCTCTCCATAGACTGACCCCTGCAGCTCTCCACAGACTGACCCCTGCAGCTCTCCATAGACTGACCCCTGCAGCTCTCCACAGACTGCCCCTGCAGCTCTCCACAGACTGACCCCTGTGCCTCTCACAGACTGGACCCTGCAGCTTCACAGACTGATCTCTGCAGCTTCATTAGACGACCCCTGCAGTTTCCACAGACTGACCTCTCTGCAGCTCTCCACAGACTGACCCCTGCAGCTCTCTACAGACTGACCCCTGCAGCTCTCTACAGACTGACCCCTGCAGCTCTCTACAGACTGACCCCTGCAGCTCTCTACAGACTGACCCCTAAACCCTGCAGCTCTCCATAGACTGAAACCTAAACCCTGCAGCTCTCCATAGACTGAAACCTAAATCCTGCAGCTCTCCATAGTTGAACTCTGTAGCTCTCCATAGACTGAACACTCTCCGCTCTCCCTCATCCCCCGCTTCCCCCTCCAGGCTGCCGGCCCTCGCTCACCGGCCGCCGCTCCCTCCCAGCCCCCTCCCTCATCCCCTCGCCCCTCCTCCCCCAGGCTGCCGCCCTCCCCGCTCACCGCTGCCGCTGCCCTCCCAGCCTCCCTCCCTCATCCCTCCCCAGGCTGCCGGCCCTCCCCCGCTCACCGCTGCCGCCTCCCAGCCTCCCTCCCTCATCCCCCGCCGCCTCCCCCAGGCTGCCGGCCCTCCCTCGCCTCCCCAGGCTGCCGCCCTCCTCGCCCCCCAGGCTGCCGCCTCCTCGTCCTCTCAGGCTTTTCGTTTTGCCCTCCCCAGGCTGCCGGGCCTCCTCGTCCTCTCTAGGCTGCTCTTGCTCTCCCCAGGCTGCCGCCTCCCTCGCCCCTCACCCCAGGCTGCCGGCCTCCCTGCTGCTCTCTCTAAGTAGCTCTCCATAGATTAACGTGGGCTCGGTGGTAAATAGTGTTAGTTTGTTGGTCGGTTTACAGATTGTCAGCTCCGCGGCCCAGCCTCCTATTAACCCCACTGTGTGAAATGGAGCCAGGATTTAGTGGGAATTAACCCATTAAGGGCACATGTCATGATTCCCTTTTATTCCAAAAGTTTGGTCGTTAAGGGGGTCCCCCCCCCCAGTATTCTCACCAGACCCGAACGAACCGCTTGCACACAGCCCCGCCTTCTCTCCGCTAATTGGTTGACTTGTCTTCCGATCTGCAATACTATTGGTCCTTCGGCCTCCTCGTCACTCCAGTCTACCCAATCACAGCTGTCAACTCCTGGTATTCCCGTGACATCTATCACAGTGTGTCTCCACTATCGGCGCCATCTTACTATAGCCCGTGTCATAGAAACAACGGGACGCGTGGTCTCCACAAACATGGCCGCCCATTCTGTGACACTGGGCCGCGCAGGAGACAGGAAGTTTATCGCGAGATTGGAGCAACCGCCGCTCACTGCGCGTTTCCCGTCAGGCTCTGCGAACTGACAGTTGCTAAGAGACAGGCGGCCGGAAACGCGCGAACTTCGAGCTCCGACCGGAGAGAAACCGGCCGGCCGTCTGTCCCGGTAACAACAACATCCATTATTATATATAGCGCTGACATGTACCATAGCCCCGCACACTGTATTATATATAGCGCTGACATGTACCATAGCCCCGCACACTGTGTTATTATTATATATAGCGATGACATGTACCATAGCCCCGCACACTGTGTTATTATTATATATAGCGCTGACATGTACCATAGCCCCGCACACTGTGTTATTATTATATATAGCGCTGACATGTACCATAGCCCCGCACACTGTTATTATTATATATAGCGCTGACATGTACCATAGCCCCGCACACTGTTATTATTATATATAGCGCTGCCATGTACCATAGCCCCGCACACTGTGTTATTATTATATAGCGCTGACATGTACCATAGCCTCGCACACTGTGTTATTATTATATATAGCGCTGACATGTACCATGGCCCCGCACACTGTGTTATTATATATAGTGCTGACATGTACCATGGCCCCGCACACTGTGTTATTATTATATATATAGCGCTGACATGTACCATGGCCCCGCACACTGTGTTATTATTATATAGCGCTGCCATGTACCATGGCCCCGCACACTGTTATTATTATATATAGCGCTGACATGTACCATAGCCCCGCACACTGTGTTATTATTATATATAGCGCTGCCATGTACCATAGCCCCGCACACTGTGTTATTATTATATAGCGCTGACATGTACCATAGCCCCGCACACCGTGTTATTATTATATATAGCGCTGACATGTACCATAGCCCTGCACACTGTTATTATTATATATAGCGCTGACATGTACCATAGCCTCGCACACTGTATTATTATATATAGCGCTGACATGTACCATAGCCCCGCACACTGTTATTATATAGCGCTGACATGTACCATAGCCCTGCACACTGTGTTATTATATATAGCGCTGACATGTACCATAGCCCTGCACACTGTGTTATTATATATAGCGCTGACATGTACCATAGCCCTGCACACTGTGTTATTATATATAGCGCTGACATGTACCATAGCCTCGCACACTGTGTTGTTATTATTATATATAGCGCTGACATGTACCATAGCCCTGCACACTGTGTTATTATTGTATATAGCGCTGACATGTACCATAGCCCCGTACACTGTGTTATTATTATATATAGCGCTGACATGTACCATAGCCCCGCACACTGTTATTATTATATATAGCGCTGACATGTACCATAGCCCCGCACACTGTTATTATTTTATATAGCGCTGACATGTACCATAGCCCCGCACACTGTGTTATTATTATATATAGCGCTGACATGTACCATAGCCCCGCACACTGTGTTATTATTATATATAGCGCTGACATGTACCATAGCCCCGCACACTGTGTTGTTATTATATATAGCGCTGACATGTACCATAGCCCCGCACACTGTTATTATATATAGCGCTGACATGTACCATAGCCCCGCACACTATTATTATATATAGCGCTGACATGTACCATAGCCC